TTTTGGTCTTTATGAGACAGGGTCTCCCTGTAGTCCCAGCTGACCTGAACTCAGTATGTAGACTAGGCAGGCCTTGAACTCACAAAAAAGATCCTCCTGTGTCTGCCTCCCAAGTGCTGGGATTAAAGGCGTGTGCCACCACGCCCAGCTATTTTAGTGTTTTTAAATGCCTTGTGAAAAAATGTTGAGGAAAGGTATGGTGAGAAGACTTTATTTCGAAACATTTGTGTCTACCAGATGCTGGCCATCGCTATGATTTACCACCTTTGCTTTGTATTGATAGCTACACTCATAACATCGAAGCTGTCAGTTGTGATGAAGCACTGATAGACATCACTGAAATCCTTGCAGAAACTAGACTTACTCCTGATGAATTTGCAAATGCCCTCCGTATGGAAATCAAGGACAAGACTAAATGTGCTGCCTCTGTTGGAATTGGTTAGTATCTGGCTTATCATGTACTTCTTTTTAACTCAAAATAATTGTTAGTTTGGAATCCTTAAATAGCCCTTATTTTAAAAGAATTTTAATGTTGCTGAGATAGGCCTTTCCTTTACTCTTAGCCTTGCTTATATGCATTATGTTAGATAAAACTGTTAGAAATGCAAACAAATGGTTGATGGTACAGTAACTTGCAATAAGCAAGTTAAAATAATAATTCTTTCTTGCTTAAAGAAATAGTAGAAAGTTAGATTTCAAAACAACTTTTCCCTCCAGTCTGAATAGAAGTCATGTTAAAAAGCAGGCTAGTGGCATGGGATTTGAAGTTAAATTTGTGGCTCCTTCTCTATCCTTTGGTTTCCTGGAATCACAACTGTTCCTGGAATCACGGTACTCTTGTGACTCCAACTCTCCCCACCCCTTCTCCATTTTGTCTTTGAGCCATGTACTTTATTTACGCAGCTGCTCTTACCACCTGTCCTCCTTGTGTTAACTTTTTCACCTTTGACCTTTAGAACTCTGTGAAACATAAGCTTCCTGAATCACCTTTTTCTACCTAGCTCAGCTTACTCAAAACCTTGTTCTAGGAAACCCCTTATCATGCTTTGTTCTCCAGTGGCGCCCCATGCTCTACTCTGCAGGCTTGGGAGGTAACTAAAGCTCTCTAAGCCTGTTGTTATTGTTTACAGCCGCCTTCTTGCATTTTCATTCATAAACTTCTCTATCTCAATTTCTTGTATCTTGAACCAGTGGGATTTATAGAGGTAACTTAGTGACAACATGGATAGGATAATACTACACCGATTAGAGAATTGGAAGCCAGGCATAATGTCTCATACCTGTTATCCCAGCACTCAGGAGGCTGAGGCAGGAGGCTCAAGAGACCTAGGCCAGCCCAGGATGCATAGTGGGACCCAGTCTCAAAGGGGGTTCAGGGAGGGGATCAGTTACTTACATTTCTAGAGTTGCTGAGGAAGCACCAGGATGGTCAGGAGGCAGAAGGAAGAAATGTAGTGGAAAACTGAGGCCAGAACCATTATTGAAGTCTCAGGGGAAATGCCTGCTAATTGAAGTAGTCAGTCTTGGCAGTCATTGGTTGTAGAGGTTGTTGTAGTTGCTTAGTAACTGTCTCTGGATGATTTAAGAGAAAAATACTAGCTTGGTATGTGAGATTTTGACAAGGGGTGTGTAGGGATGGCTGGCCTGCATATGAATGTTGTGATTCTATGTGTCTTTGGAAATTAGCCAGCTGAAAGCCACTTTCATTTCACCTAGCTAACTTTAAATATTAAGATTTTTTATTCTTTTGACAATTTCATACATGTATGTAATGTAGATTCTTGATCATATCCACCCCAAACCCCTCAAGATACTAACCTTCCCACCTTTTTTTTTAAAATGATCTACTGAATACAATTAATGTTGCCCCCACACATGTGAGTATGTGGCCACCCACCTGAATTTGGGCAACTTTCAGTGGCATACCTCTGAAAAAAACTTACTTCTTCCCGCCCCCAGCAGCAATAAACTGCCAATAGTTCCTCAGCTGGGATGAGGCCTCATGAACCTCTTTCCCGCTTCATGCTGTCATTTTGACTGCCTAAGTCTTATGCAGATAATCACAGGTGCTATGAGTTCATGAGTGCAGTGGCCTTATAATGTCCAGAAGACAGCATTTCACAGCACTCCTCCCTTTTGCTTTAAAATTCTTTCCTCCCCCTTTCCAGCCTGTTCCCTTGGGGTAGGGGGTATGTGGTATACATATCCCATTTAGGGCTGAGTACTCAGCAGTCACTTGTTCTTAGTATTTTTGGCCATTTTTGAGTCTCTGCATTAATTACTGCACAATGCAGAAGCTTCTCTGACCAAGGTTGAGCAGCACTAATCTATCAGTATAAACATAAATATTTAGAAGGATACCATTTGACATGTCTATTTAGCGAAATAACAGTACTAG